GTTCCGACTGTAATATTTCTGTTCACCGACCCAAGCATCGAGTGCATCCATCGAAGTCCATGTCAACCCGCTTCCCTAATATATATTCGGCCCAAGCTTAAAATCACATTCTACGAATGAGTGCATCGGTTGACAGTCTTCTTTTCTGTGTCTAGTCAACCATTTTGCATAGTTTTCCAGTTGACTGTCTGAGGGGGTGTTTGATGGATATTATTGAGGAAAGAATGTATTTCAAATAGTGATGATGAAAAATGTGTAGTTAAAAAGTAAGAAAATGTTGTTGATATGATGGAAAATATTATTTTATTGAAAAATGTGTGGTTTAAAATGAGTTTTGAAAAAAATTATTTTAAAAAAATGTGTGTCAAATGAGGGCTGAGTGTTTCAGGTAAGAGGAAATACAAGTTTTGGTGCTCTTAATTGTGTACATACAAGAATTGTATGGTCTCTCAGATGCAATTCCAGCATAGCGTCTTCGAGATTTTGTTCACAAGATTTCTTGTCCAATTCAAAACTTTATCAATTCTTCCCCAATTCAAAACCCAATCAATTTCTTCCCCCAAATCATTTTTCATTCCATATCAATTTCTCCTCCAAATCAATAGTCTCTCAAAAATTGTATATTTGTATAACCTAAAATCACCCTCTCATTGAAACGAGCTTCAGAAAAATTTAGAAATTTATGTCTTTTAGTTTGTAGGATGTTGTTTGTGATTTGAATTGTAGGAAAAGAGTAATAGATTGGTATGGTTTTTTAAATGTGTAGTTGATAGGTTCTTATGATGTTTTGGTAGTTGTAAGTTGGTGGTTATGTAGTAATGTAGGTGGTGTTGTGCAAATGTCGATTGTTGTGAAATCATCAAATGAAACCATATGTTTTTTATATTTTTAATTAAATGGATCTGTTGGGGCAAACAAGTCTCACATCGATTTTGGGAAGAAAATAAATCCACCATATAACTCAAGTGGGTTACTCCACCCATTACCAATTGGTTTTGGGATGGAACCTCACTTGGGCCTGGTGGAGTGGGCTTGGGCCTTGGGTAATTGCTCTCAATAATTCCCTAACAGTGGTATCAGAGTCCAGGTTGTGTGGCTAGATAAATCGAGGTGGTGGAAGATTCTCATGAGATGGTAGATCCATGGTAACGTAGTGGGTGCAGGTTACGATGGATTATCTTGATGAGTGGTGATTTATCTCGTGAGCCTTGTTTGAGGGAGGGATTGTTGGAGCAAACAAGTTCCACATCGATTGTGGAAAGAAAATAAATTCACCATATAATCCAAGTGGGCTACTCCACTCATTACCAATTGGTTTTGGGATGGAACCTCACTTGGGCCTGGTTGAATGGGCTTGAGTTTTGGGTAATTGCTCTCAATAATTCCCTAACAGGATCATTGTCGGTTTACCTTATGATTTTTTCTCTCCTCTGACTTGCAAATTGCTGAAACAACACAAAGAGAGTTCTGTTGCAGTTTATGTTATGCTGAAATTAAAGAGAAAACCTGAATTAATCCACCTGTTGCAATTTATGCGATGCTGAAATAAAAGGGAAAGACGATTCTTCCATATGTTTATGGAGAAATTGCTATTAATGCTAATGAATTAATCCACCTGTCATTTTTTAAATGTGTTAATGGTCACGCGTGATTTCTATCAGCCTCGTGGATTTTTTTTTACTTGGATGGATGGAATTGAAATAGGTGATGGATGTGTAATTTTTTTTAAAAGTGAGTAAGCAATCAGTAACCCTTTATTTTTGGGTGAACAAATAGTAACTCGGGGCAAATGTTGGTGATCGGTGATTTAGGGCCTATTTGAGCCACATTTTTTGTGTGAAATATATTTTTTGATAGTAGATTAATGGAAAACGTGTGGTTAAAAATGAAGGAAAAAAATTTTGGATTGCGTGTAATATTATTTTATTGAAAAATGTATTTTGAAAAAAAATGAGGATGACAAACTTAATTAAATCTCATAGCAACAGACAGTACAATCCGTAATTACAGTTGGTAAGTCGTCCTATTAATGTAAATTAAAAAAATTGAAACAGCCATTAATGAGATGTCGTAAGAAGGATTGGTGGGTGGGCAAAATGCTTCTATTCAATATTAAATTTAATTTTTCAAAATTTCTTTTTAAACTCGATCCCCATCTTGACACAACTTGACGTTTCTTGAAGAAAAGAACTCTTTAAAAGATCTTTTGTCGTGAACTAGAATCCATTATAGCCTAATTCCTTGCATCTTTCGTGGAGAATCGGACAATTCTCAACAAGCAATTGAATTTCCTTTCAAACCAGTTACTCAAAATGCATACAATTTCATGTTATTAATAAGATCTTGCGTCGTGATCGTTTCGTGCATTGCAAAAACTATTGCCATAGGCATTTTGGTTGTTTTATTTGCAAAAAGGAATGAATAGAAGAAGACAGAGGAGTGTCTTATTTCACATGAATATGCTCATTGAGGTTAGAAAGCTAGGTGTGGTAAGTGAATGGACCTTCTATCCTTTATGATATTGAGTTGACAAGGGACAAAATGCCCATAAGTGTAGCGAAAATAATTATGTTTCCATTCACAAGATAAAAAAAATGAAAAATTCGTCAACATGTAATAGAGCGTCGTCGATTAGGGATAAACTAAGCCCCTGTTTGTCTACCATTTTTCAAAACATTATTTTCTACAGTAATCAATATCCATCACACATTCAAATAATAAAATATTCTACGCATAAACCGATAAAGTTTCTTTCAATTTTAACCACACATTCTCCAAAAAATACTATTCATTATACCATTTTCATCACAATAATGGTAGACAAACAGGCACTAAAGACTGTCGACTTAAGTGATTTATATATGTTTTATACATTTTTCGTAGACTCAAAGAAAATGTTTTTAATTTAGTTGTCTAAAAAATGCAAATTAATACGGGTTGGTTTAGAATTGAGATTGTACTTGTGTGTCTAGTGGGGGATCTAGGGTTGGGCAAAATCTCCTTAGAAACATAGGGGGTGTATTCAATTGAGATTTTTAATGACTTTTTGGAATTTAAAAGGTTTAGGAATATTCAACATAGACTTTGTGAAATTTTCTAAACTCATTGGTGTATTCAATAGAGACCTTTATAAAGTTTTAAAAAGTTTGTAAAAGTCACAGTGTATTTAATTAAAACTTTATAGAAGTAGCTATTAGTTTGGAGTAATCAATTTTAATGACTTTTAAAAACTTTTATAAAAATCTTCAGGGTACTAACTTTGAAGCATAAAGTATTAAAAAATCTCAAAATTTGTCTCTCATTAATCACAAGATTTTAGGAAACTTTCACAAAAGATCTTAATTGGATACACCCTTCTTACTTAGTCTACTTCCTATATTCATTAATGAGTTTGAGATCAGACATATGTAACATTTTCAATAAAAAGATGCAATAATTATCACAAAGCATATGTCTGCACATAATTTAAACCATTTTAAGCTTCAAACTCTAAAGAAAATTACAAAAATTCAAAAATCGATGTTCCAAGAGAGAGCCCTCTTCAAATATCCATTACTCTTTAGTATATAACTGTCAATTCTCGCAATTTGAGGAGAATTAAAAACTCGATATTTTGTAAGAGAAAGTCTTTTAAAGATAACTTGTCGTACATGAGAATGAGTCTGGTCGAATTTGCTACCCTTTGTAGAAAACCAAACAATTCTCAACAAGTAAAATCAAACTACACCAACCTTGCCGTCCACAATTTAAAGCTTAGAGTTAGCTATGAACAATAAATTGGAGTTCGAGCTATGAACAATAAATTGGAGTTCAAATGGGAAATTTGGTACACAATAAAAGCTCACGTCATAAGGGTGCCCAAAAAGCAAACAGCTCAAGCACTCAATTTTTGGTTTGGATTTTTATACTTTGTCTGATTAATGATAATTTCAACAAAATCTTAGAGAAAGTTTCATAGAATGTTGAATAATTTGTCCACTAATAATACACGAAGAGTTGGTGTCCTTTAAAGTAGAAACATAAAGATGAAATAAATGAAGTTGTTGGTTCCTCTTAATTATAACAATATTAAATTGAGGAAAACAATTGAAAATGGGTTGTCCAATTCTACTATTTTGGACTATACTGCGTTTCGACGATAACCCTTAACTTGTTGTGAAACGTAGATTGTTTCATCAATGTATTTGAAGTCCGACCACACAAATTCTTTTCTTTCGCTCGATTTTTCGACCATTAGATGCATTGAAATGTACAATAAGCTCAATTTTAGTATGACCATATCAAACTAATAGGGTGTTTGATAGAGATTAAAATTAGATTTTTAACAGATTTTGATAGAAGTTTTTGAAATGTGTAGTTGAAAAGTTGTGGGACTCATGAAAAATGTGATTAATATTGATTGTTTGACTTTAATTTGAATTAAAATCAGATTTTAATCCGAACCAAACATGTGCTAAATATATTATAATCTACCCCTCTTTTGATATATTCTTTCTTGTAAACTTCTTTAGATCAATACAAATACTTTTAATTTTATTTTATTTTTTAAATTCTATCACTTTTCGTGATCATAAATCGAGTGTATTTGAAGGAAATCAAAACATATCTCCACTCATTAACATGTATCATCATCAATTCTTTTTCTATTCACCTACTAACCTATGCATGTTCTCATTTTGTACATTTCACTATTGAACAAAGAATTCAATATGTATACAGTACCGTACAAGACTTCGGTTTTTGTTTCAGATGGCTTAAATACTTACCAAAAAGTTGATGTTAAACTGTTAAAGGCAACAATTAATTTTAATGACATATTTTATGAAACCCACAAATTTTTATCGACTTTTAGTTCATGCATTTTATCAATTTTTGTTAAAAACTTGGTCAAAAAACTGCAGGGCTGAAACACAATAATTTCAGTAAGCTACCCATTCTTCCTCTATTTAAGAACCCTAACTTGCCAATCCCATCACTCAAACTTCTCTTTGCATCCAACAATGGCAGTCGAGAAAAAGGTCGATCACAATACTGGATCTCACCCGGTTAGTGCAGAAGTGGAAGAAACCCTACCCAAATCTCTTTATTCCATTAGACTAAAGTATGTGAAGCTCGGCTACCATTACTTGATTTCCAATGCCATGTACCTTTTGATCATACCCCTTCTTGCTGCTTCTGCAGCAGTTAATTTTTCAGTACTAAACATCCAAGATATAGTGCAGCTATGTAACCATCACCTGAAATACAATGTTCTAGCAGTGATCTCATGCACGTCGTTAATGGCGGTTTTGGCGACAATTTATTTCATGAGTCGACCAAGGAAAGTTTACTTGGTGGATTTCTCGTGTTACAAGCCCGATCCCAAATTTGAGTGCTCGACCAAGTTGGTTATAGAGAAGATTTCGACTTTCTTCAGCGAAGAAAGCGTAATTTTCATGAAGAAAGTGTTACAAAGGTCGGGATTGGGTGAAAAGACATTTGCTGGTTCTCTTCTAGACTTTCCGCCGAGATTTCCTGTTGAAAGTGCTCGAAAGGAAGCCGAAATGGTTATGTTCGGAGCCATTGACGATCTCTTGGCGAAAACCCGAGTGAATCCAAGAGATATTGGAATTCTTGTGGTTAATATTTCTTTGTTCAATCCAACGCCGTCTCTTTCTTCCATGATAGTGAATCGCTACAAGCTTAGAGGAGACATCGTGAGTTGCAACCTAGGCGGCATGGGATGTAGCGCTGGGCTGATTTCAATAGACCTTGCAAAAAGGCTTTTACAGGTTCGTTACAGGCAATCTTGTCTAATATTGACTACCAAATTAACATGTCTATATAGTGTAGAGTAATGCTATGTAGCATGTCATGTGTTTAGCACTGGAGTGTCTACTGCTTCATTGTCCAATAAAGTCGCATGTTGATACTAACTGTCTACTTTCCACAGGTGCAACCTAACACATATGCCCTAGTCATGAGTTTTGAAAGTGTGACACCTTTCTATTATGCGGGCAATGACAAAGCAAAGCTTCTCCCAAACTGCCTCTTTCGCCTCGGTGGAGCTGCTATCCTCTTATCCAATCGCTTCTCAGATCGTCGACGTTCAAAATACCAACTATCACACACTTTGCGTACCCACAAAGGCGCTGATGATAGAGCATATAAGTGTGTGTTCCAAGAAGAGGACGAAGAAGGGAAAATCGGTGTCACATTATCTAAAGATCTGATGGCTATTGCTGGAGAGGCCTTAAAATCAAACATCACTACACTTGGACCATTAGTACTTCCAATCTCCGAGCAACTTCTGTTTTTCGCTACACTGATTGCAAAAAAAGTCTTCAAGATGGACGTGAAGCCATATGTTCCAGATTTCAAGCTTGCGTTCGAGCATTTCTGTATTCACGCAGGTGGAAGAGCAGTGTTGGATGAACTAGAGAATAATCTTAAACTCACAGAATGGCATATGGAGCCTTCAAGAATGACTCTCTATAGGTTTGGCAACACGTCAAGCAGCTCAGTATGGTATCAACTAGCCTACGCCGAAGCCAAAGGGCGCATCAAAAAGGGCGATCGAGTATGGCAGATTGCATTTGGATCGGGTTTCAAGTGTAACAGTGGCGTCTGGCGTGCGCTCAGGACTATTAATCCGATAAAGGAGCAGAATCCTTGGACAAATGAGATTGATCAATTCCCTGTTCGAGTACCTCAAGCCATGATCCTTTAGGCGATTGTCCTCTTCATTGACGACCATAGTTTTTCGAGGCATACTACATTTTTTCGCTAGTAAACTAGAAAGCAACTTTCCATTACATCATTACTAAAACTCAAACTTAAGGTCGTTAGTATTATTCATGTTGTGTTCGTATGTTGGATTTATGTCCCCCTCGATCTGTAGCTTCTTATTCCTTTTTATTAATATATGCATTACAATTATTATGAATAAATTTATTAGCAAGTACGAAGGTTAGATTCTTTAACAAAATGTGATTGAGAGAGACCGAAGTTGAATATGATGAAGATAGAGATAAGATATTAAAAATATTAGGGAAGAAAATCACTCTCAAAAGACTTTAGGTATCACATCTAGAGTTGATAAAGAATTTTTCAAGAAATCTGATTACTGGCAATAAATGAGGAGTTTCTAAGGTCAGTTTAAGCATTTACTTTCCAACTACTTCATTTATTTCATACATAGACCTACCAAAGCTGAAAACAAATGTTATTCAATTGATTTCCACTAACTCTCTATTGTCTTGAGGAAACTCGATCGTCTTCGATGAGATTTAAGGCATGGTACTTGTCATAGAGTTGCAAGGGTTTAGATTACGTGTTGCCTACATTTTCACCACGTAATGTATATTAATATTTGAAGTTACATCTTATTAAGAGTCAGCAATTAGTCGATATAATATTTATTCCTTAATTTGTACCCACGAAAAAGTAGATCAGTCTTGAGATCCGTGTGCTTTTTTTTTATTTTAATCGAATCAAATTGCTCGTTTCGGTACAATGGGCTTTGATACCATCAATCTTAAAATTTCAACTTTATTATAAGGAGCAATACAAACACTTATATATTAGAGTATGTTTGAGCTCCATTCTTTTGCCAAAATGCATTTTGGAACAGTGATTTAAAAATGTGCGGTTAAAAAATAAGGAAATATTTTGGGTTTGCGTGTAATATTATTTTATTGAAGAATTGGCGATTGAAAATAAGAAAAAGAAAAATGTATTTTGAAAATAATGGTTACCAAACAAGGCTTGATCTATATTTCGATAATTACCCGATGCAATATTTATCTCTTTCACAATATGTAATTTTAAAGCAAAAAATTGAAGCGGAGACACAAATTTGACTTAGTTTGGCGACGAATAGGCCTAACTCTTTGGAGGGGATCGGGCATGCACGATCAGAATCGCACGGTAGAGAAGGTACAAAATCATCCATATCATCGCATAAAACCCGGATTTCTCACTCTCACACAAGGAAGTAAATCCCACCCAGATGACTAAATCACCTCATTGTTATCATCTCTATGTTTTGCAACAAAGAATTTACCCTAAACTAATCACAAAATAGAGTATAGATGGAGATTCATTGGTGGAGCCAAGATTCTTTCTTTGGGGGAAGGATATCCTTAACCAGTTTAAACTTGGCCTAGCACAATTCGGTTGTGAGTAGCTTCTTCGAAAATATATGAGAACCAACGATGGTATCCAAATATCTTCTAAACGAAGGATTGGGACAAAACTATTTCTTAGAAGTTGATGTTATTGGGACAAAACTTTATTAAGAAATAGTAGTATTATTAACCCATACGACTTTTTTAAAGTCGACGATGTGGTTCGATAGGAAGCTTAAGATGATCCCTTGTTCGATTTGAAGACAGTATTCATACGACTTCTAGCGTCGATGATGAGTTAGTGGTCTTGATTTCAGCAAGGAAAATTCATGTGTTTTACAACACATTCTCCAAAAAAGCAAATATTACAAAAAAAAAAATAATAATCTACTTTTCCATATGGGGCACAAACTATTTTTCAGAGTAAAAAAAATAAAGAACCCACCACTACAAGAAGCCAAAAGCACCTAGAAAATTACTTATGTCCCCGCTAAAGGAATCAAATAATGATTAAGGATACACTTAAGCCAACAATCTTCCTCAACAAAATTAATAATCTCATTTGGATAAGCCAAATATTAATTTCTTCTGGTGTCCCCACCACGAGTTCTTGTATGGACCTTGGGCCAAAATTTCCCCATCACAGCAGGACTCAACCACCAAGTGGGCATGAGTTGTCCTTTGCAATTTGTGGTCCATGTCAATAATTAAATTCGATGTAAAATTAAGGATTAAGACCCTATTTTATTACAACGAATTTCATGAAAAAGTCACATTCGAGAAAGACAAATTTCACTTTAGCCGTTTGATTGTAACGTGAAAATGTAAACCGAGTTTTAAGGTACAACCACTTTAAACTGCATTTTTCTTATTTTTTTGGAAAACGAATTCCTATAGATTTGGTGGATTTTTATTTTCCAACTAACATGAAATTAAAATTTTTTATTTTTTTTTTCCACCTTTATCTATCAAACGGATCCTAAAGCAATTCAAAATATTCAAATTTCGACACATGATATAGAAAAAAAAAATCATTTTTCACATTCAAGGATGTCGAGTTTTCTACACAACAAAATTTACATCTCTTGAACAATAAGGAAAAAAAAAAAAACACGCAAACTGGTTTTGACTTCTCCCTCTTTGCGGAGTTTCAAGCTTTCTAAATCAAGTTATAGGATTGGTTACGATAATTGTGTAAAAGATTGGCTTAATAGTTATTGGTTTTGCCACATTTTTCTTAAGAAAAATGGATGGTTACTTTTTAGAACAATAATTTGAGGAATCTATTATTTCAGACCCTACAAGAAGGAAAAATACGAAAGACTTTTGCATTTCAAGTCACCAAATCACTTTTTTTTTTATATATATATAGGGAAAATTGTAATCGCAGTACCAAACCTTTCATTTAGTTGCAGACATTGTCCAAACCTTTCATTTGTATCACCCACAATACCAAACCTTTAAAAAAATCGCACCCGAAGTCCAAATTGACAGAAACCATCACACCCACCTCCGCCACAGTCCTTCCGTCCCAACCTAAAGAAATTGCGACCCCCCTTTTCATTCATTATCTCACCTTAAAATACAAATCATTTGAGCAAATGTCAATCTCTGAAATTTCATCGCCTTCTCAAATTCATTGACTAAGGTTTTGGTTTCTTCGCAGAGAATTCATTGGCATCCAAATCAGTTTCATAATTCAAATGGGTGTTTGGGGAAATGCCCATTAGAAATCCTAGCTCATTTTCCAACGAAGAAAGAGTAGAGCACTTGCGAAGAATTGATGATGATAGCCTGACCAATAAAGAGGAAAGTTCTGCTTTAGATGTTGTGGAGAGCAGTATAATTTCAAATATTATGGAAATTGGTTATGATTCTTGTGGTGATTCATTGACATTACCTAATGCTTCATTTAAGTTGCTTGATGAAACTGATGGTCTGCATGCTTTTTCCTGGGATTCCATTAATGGCAGTCAATCAGGGTTCTGATTTCTGGAACAGGGAAATCAAGTCGCTGGATCTGTTCTTACTGATTTTAGGAATACAAAGAAGCAGTACTTGTGCAAGCTCCAGGGAGATGTGAGTCTTGTGCTTTAAAAAGGTTCAGGCAGCGACAATGGTGGTGAGAATATGTGGTCAAGAAATTTGGAAGAAGATGAAGCGAAAAAGGGTGATTTTTGTTCAATTTTTGGAGAGGTGGCGCCGGAGATTGGTGGCTGAAAGACAGTAGCCGAGGTGGGTGTGGTGGTGCCGGCATTTTGGGGGTTCTGGTTTTGGTCAGATTTTTAATTTTTGTTCAGTCAAATTAAAGGTTTCTGTCAATTTGGATTTCGGCGTGCGAGTTTTTTAAAGGTTTGGTATCGTGGATCGTACAAATAAAAGATTTGAGTAAAGTCTACAATTAAATGAAATGTTTGAAATCATGGCTGCAATTTTCCCTTATATATATATAAGAATAGGCCAATAATTGAGTGGTGGAGCAAAAGTCACTCTCTTCAATTGAACAAATAAAATACGAACTAATTGGTTTAAATTGAACTTTTTATGTTATGTTTGGTTTAGTTAAAAATCGAATATTTCAATGTATAGTTCAAAAATAATAAACATTGTTCATCTCGTGAAATATATGACTAAAAATGAGTTTAAAGAAAAATAATTTTTAATAAATATGAGTCAACATGATTGTTAAATGTCATTCTACCATCAATTTCTTGCTATAAAAGCATGATTCTCATAATCAGAGTGTGTTTGGTAGGGATTTTTGGGGGAAGAATTGATTTTTGAATAGTGATATAATGGAAAATGTGTGATTGAAAAAGAAGAAAAAAGTATTGATGTAATGAAAATATTATTTTATTGAAGAATGTGCAGTTGAAATTGAGAATTGATTTACTGTAGAAAATGAGAATCTGTACCAAATAGGCTCTCAAAATATATGAAAATGATCTATTATCAACTTGACTTAATTCGTAGGGTGTTTTAAAAAATCCATCTAGGCATAGGGCACGAAGAAAACGTCTTGCCGAAGCGTCTGGGCAGAAAAAGGATAATCAACTCTATGTTCACTGTCCAAGGAGTGCCTAGGCTAAAAATGGCGAGCGCCTTCTTGTTTTTAAAGTGATATTTTCTTATTTTAAAGTTCTACACAACAAAATGCGAGATTATTATTATAAATTTAAAAAAAAAAAGCTTCTNAATTTAAAAAAAAAAAAAAACTTCTGCAAATAACAAACATCGGTTTCTATGTCCATGAACAATTATTATTGATCGGGCTACTTTTAATTTTGAAAATTACGCTTATATTGAAAACTTGAAAAATATGTATGAAGCTCTTATAATTTTTCAAAGTATGTGTTGTGGTTGTTGTTGTTGTTGTTATTATTATTATTATTATTATTATTTTGTCTATAATAACTACTAAAATATTAAAATAGGAATAAATCTTTTTACTATGCATAAAGGTTGACTTCTACACTTTGTGTCGAGGATTGCAGTTTCAACAAACCCCTTGACCTAATCGTAGCAGTAATTTGTCCAACTTCGACCACACGTTGTAAATATTTTATTTCAAATGTAAAATAAATGTGATATTGGAAAACGTTTGGTATTATTCTTCTGCATTTAAACGTCTACTCCTATCACTTAGGTTTTTGTTCAGAATGCTATCATATGGGGTCTTCTTTCAAACTTTCTAGTGTTCGCCCCCTGCACTAGCCATTGTAATTTCCTATTTTCGTCAATTGTAATTTCTAACTTTCAAACAATCAATGATCAATTTACTTTCTATACATTTCAATTTCACGTTGCAAACTTTCTAAAAATTGTAATAAAATTGTCTTTCGTCCCGAAACGACTGAGAGAATTGGGAAGGTAGTTTAGCAGAGTAGACTACTGCCGCACGGTGTTTCTTTTTGTGCCAAGAAGAAATGCACCCCATGAAAGTTGGTATCAAAATCGTTGCTCAAGACCCTAGATAAGAAAGCTATGAATCCAATTGTAACGAACACCACGGAGGTGGTATATCCTCAAAAGAGGAATACGAAACAGCGCGTGANTTCCCTAACTCAGAATTTCGGAATCGTGTACCTACGGAGGGGCACGTGATGCAAAAAAAAATCAAGAACTTCTTTTTTGATATGGAACAATACTTTCTTGCGACTTCGATCGAAAACGAAGCAAGAAATGTTACAATAGCTACCATGTATCTTGGTGGAGATGCAAAGCTATGGTGACAGACAAAATATGCTAATATTTAGGCCAACAGAGTCTGAATAAATTCTTGGGTTCTCCTCTAGGAAGCGATCAGATCACAATTTTTCCTAGAAAATGTGAAATATCAGGCACGATGGGCACTACGAGAACTGAAACATACAAGCCCTACCAAGGAGTACGTGAAAGCCTTTTCAGGGCATATGCTGAACATTCAAGATATGTTAGAAAATGATAAGCTATTCACCTTCATGGAAGGGTTGAAACCGTGGACACGCACGGAACTTCAGAGACAAAAGGTTACTGATTTGAGCGCGGCCATGGGAGCCGTCGAATGTTTAAGTGACTATCAACCTGAGTCGAGAAAAGATCGACCTTCAAGGAGTAATCAAGCTATTGGACATGGAAGCAGACCTTATAGACCCAACTCGAACTCAAATGGGGATAGCATTACTCTAATAATAAGGAAGGTGCCTATTAAGGCACCCGTCAGAGTAACTCTCAAGGAAACTATCAAAACAGCCGTCAAGGAAACTATAACAGCTGCAATAGTAACAACTAGAATAAAGAAAAAGCAACGGAGGGTATATCTGATGCCACTCCTAAATTGATGTGCTTTCTATGTGAAGGACCCCATAGGGTGGCCGAGTATCCTCAGAAATGGATGGTGAATGTTTACTGTCAACTAGCGGGTGGTGGAATGAGTTCAAAGCAAGATGTCCCACAAACTAGCTGTCACAGTGAGACAGATTCTGAAGAGGACGAGGATGTAGTTGGTACATTCTCACATCGGTGCAATACACTATCGCACCGAACTACTAAAAATGAGAATGTCCCTTTGAAAGAGGTAATGATGGGAGAATCGAAGGTTCATATTTGCAGGGTAAAAGGCCTAATGTACATTGATTTGAAGATCAATGGAAAGCCAATCATGGCTATAATAGATACCGGTGCTACTCACAACTACCTTACAAGTGCCGAAGTAGAGCGACTCGGACTTGTTCTGGAAAAAGGTAATGGGAAGGTCAAAGCAATCAACTCTGTTGCTTAACCAATAACGGGAGTAGCGAAATCTGTGTCGATCAAAGCAAGTCCTTTCGAAGGAAGAACAAATTTTTGTCAGCAGTTGAGGATGACTTCAAGCTTATTTTGGGATTGAAATTTCTTCGGGATACTAAAACAACAGTGTTGTCATATTTCGATTCATTGATGATATGGGTAGTAAACCGTGTGTCATCACTACCCAATAGGGGAAGATGTTAGAAAAGAGTATCTCGACCATGAAATTTGGTAAGGGTTTCAAAAGAAATGAACTCTCATTTTTGTGCACTCTTCGATTAGAGGAGATCGAAAAGGCAACTGGTCATATTCCAAAGCCGGTCAGAAGGCTTATTAAGGAATTAGAGGACATCATACCGGAAGAGTTACCAAAGAAGTTGCCACCAAGAAAGGTAATCAATCATGAGATTGAGCTAATTCTAGGTGCCAAATCGCCGCCAAGACACCCTACCGTATGTCTTAGCCGGAGGTTGAAGAGTTTCGAAAACAATTGGGAGAAATGTTGAAAAGTGGGATTATCGTACATGCGAAATCACCATATGGAGCTCCCGTATTATTTCAAAAAAAGGCCAATGGTTCTTAGAATGTGCTGCGACTATCGAGCCTTGAAAAAGAACACTGTAAAGAATAGTTATCCTATTCCGCTAGTCGTTGATTGTTTCGATCGACTGAGCCGAGCGAGATACTATACAAAGATAGATCTAAAATCCAAATACTGGCAAGTTCAGATTAAGTAGGGAGATGAAGCAAAGAGGTTCTTAGACGATTTTGTGGTGGTGTACCTGGACGACATAGTAGTCTACAATGAGACATTAGAGAGACATGTGCAACATGTGAGGCAGGTTTTCAATCGGCTACGAGAGAGTGAACTCTATGCCAAACCGTCTAAATGTTCATTCGGTCAGACGTCTATTAACTTCTTAGGTCACATCTTCGAGCAAGACAAAATACGCATGGATACGAAGAAGGTTGCGGCCATCAAAGATTGGCAACCACCAAAAAATGTCCACGATGTGCGTTTATTTCTCGGGTTATGCAATTACTATTGAAGATTTGTGAAAGGGTACTCAGAAACTACATTGTCACTTACCAAGCTAATGAAGAAGGATAAGGATTGAGACTGATAACCCCAATGCCAAAATGCTTTTGAGGAGTTGAAGAAATCTATGTGGATGAATCCATTATCAGCCTTGCTGGATATGGCTAAACCATTCGAAGTGCATACCGATACTTTAGACTTTGCACTTGGTGGAGTCATTATGCAAGAAGGACATCATGTAGCTTATGAGAACCAAAAGCTGAATCAAGCAGAACGTCGTTACTCGGTGCACGAAAAGGATTTGTTGGCGGTAGTCCATTGCCTTAGGGGATAGCGTCACTATTTGCTTAGGTTTCTATTTATTGTGAAGATAGATAATACTGCGGTGAGTCACTTCATGTCCCAACCGAAACTATTAAGCAAACGGGCTCGTTGGCAGGAACTTCTTTCAGAGTTCAATTTTATGCTAGTGTATCGTCCCGGATCTAGTAATCATGTTGCCGATGCTCTTTGTCATCGGGTCGACTTGGCCACCATTTGCTCTCTGGCTACTCTTTCAGGGAGTACAGTTACCACAAATACAAGGGACCAAATTCGGGTACTTTTGGATGAGGACCCGGCCACTCAATATTAGGTCGACCTAATCAAATATGGCAAAACTCGTCAGTTTTGGCTCGATGGGGGCCTAGTGAAGACTAAAGGAGTATGTTCCTAAGGGTGGAGATTTGAGGAAATCATTAATTACGGAATGCCACGACACAATTTTGGGAGGCATCTTGGAGAGGAACACACTTTTTCACTACTGCAGTGTGCGTACTACTCGCCTCAAATGCAGGACAACATTGCTACTTATGTGAAAACGTGTCTTATTTGTCAGCAAGATAAGATAGATCATCAGAAAAAGGCAGGCTTGCTTGAACCTCTTTCCATCCCAACTGACCATTCAAGAGTGTATTGATGGACTACATTGTTGGATTGCTAAAAGTTGGAGATTTTGGCACTATCATCGTCGTGGTAGACCGTCTTTCAAAGTACGCAACTTTCATCGCAGCGCCTAAGTATGTATCAGCTGAAAAGATAGCTCGACTCTTTTTCAAACATATTGCCAAATACTAGGGGCTGCCTAAGGACATCATCAGTGATCGAGATCCTCGATTTGCTGGCATATTTTGGACCGAGTTATTCAAACTTCT